TTAGTGAGAGATTGAGATCGCGCCGGCGAGTAGAGAGAGAGGAGAAGAGAGGACGAGAGAGAGAGAGAGAGAGAGAGACAGAAAGAGATCCTTGGAGAGGAGAGAGAGAGAGAGAGCCAGGCTGAGAGAAGATAAGAGAGGAGAAGAGAGAGACTTTGAGGATGAAGAGGAGATTAGCGAGAGAGACGAATGGAGAGAGTGAGAAGAACGAGCGTGCGTGTGAGAGAAGAGTAGCTGTGTCGCTGTGGGTGTGCCTGGCTGTGAGAGAGAGCAGAGCAGGAGAAGAACGAGAGATTTGAGGAAAACGGAGGAGAGAGGAGCCAGTAGGTGAGAGAGTAGTGGAGAGGGAGAATAGACGAGACGGCGAGTAGGAAGAAAGGAAAGAGAGAGAGCCCTTTTGAGAAGTAAGAACGAGGGAGAGAGAGAGGAGAGAGATGAGGAGAGTGAAAGGGAAGAGATAGAGAGCGGAGAGAGAGAAGCCGACGAGGATTCGAGAGGAACGGTCCGCCTATGAAATAAGATAGACCGGCAGCAGTGCCATAGCCATATATTACTATATTCTTTCCCGGCAAATCAGCAGAGCGTTCTGTTGCCGCAATTCATATTGGAAGGCCCATTACCGCCAAAACCTACCTAATTTAATCACGCTAATCACTGCTCTTGAGTGGTATGTCCGGATTGGTGTAGCCTGCGAGGCTTAGCAATGCCGATCCGCGTTTCCTTTGGATGGGCGTAGCCTGGAGGCTTAGGGCGACCCGGGTTCCCGGTACGCGTAGCCCACCTTGCGTAACAATTATTTTATTATTTGAATTTTGAATTTGAATTTGAATTTGAATTTATTTGAATTTGAAATTATTTATTATTAGAATTAACATACAAATTTGAAATTTGATTTTTTTTAAATGCGCTTAAACGTCTGGGCCTTGTAACGTACAGTGCGCCAATCCTATAACATAACATTTCATATGTATAACAACTTACCTGTGTACGCAAGATTCATGACGACCACTTAAGTTCGTTTTATGAGCTATAAATGTAAAATTGAACCGAATCTCTTAACTGTGTAAGTTAATGGGGGCTGACATCTTTACTCGCACACCTATCACGAGACAGTACTCTCGCGTAAATACATTTATCGTATTTAAAAATCAGCACTATTTATGATAAATCCGTTAATATATGAAATTTATAAATATTATACTCTATTATTATGAGCATATGATTGTGTAGAACCAGTAGGTTCGTTGTCATGCCACCGTGACGTCATCACTTCGGTACTCTATTAAGTTACATGTAACACACTGACAGTACAGAATGCCATAAAAATTATACGATTTAAGGAGCATAAACCTTCTTCAAGCAAATTTAGCTTTTGAAATTTCACTGTGACATTGTAGCCTCATACATCCAGGCATGTATAGATTATACTAGCAAACCCGGCAGTCAAATTCTTTCTAACAGTAAACAAATCCATGTTTAACTCTCCTCTTGAGGGTCAAAAGGTTATCAGACACTTACTCTTCGCACGTCAGTGGAAAGCACATTTCATGGTCCTTTCAATAAAGCCATAAAAATGGTAGGTCACCGCTGAAACAAAAAAGTTTTTCAATCGCTCCGTCACACCATGTCCTCAGAAAATGTCTAAAATCTGCCCTGTGCCCCATTGACCTTTGACCTCCAATTTCGGCACAGTGATGGCTTTTCCTGACATGATGCTATACACCGACTATCACAAGCCATTTAGATTTGTGCCGCAATTCTGCATTTCCTCCCTATACCTTAAGTTAAGGAGGGAATGTTCCCCCTTCTTTTACACCTCTTGATGTTTGACCTTTGACTCCCAAATTGATCATCCTGAGTCCTGTTCACGATCCCCCCCCACATCCCAAATATTGTGACCGTACGTCGAGCGGTTAAGATTTGTGCCCAACTGTTGACGCACGCACGCACGGACGGACGATCATGCGATTCTACAAGCTGCATCTGACTATGTCAGATGAGCTAAAAAGATAGGTGAGAAGTCCATGTAGATAAAGAAGTGTTAAAAAGCCCGATCATTTTGCGTTTTGTGAGCCATTTTTCGTGGAAGCATTGGGGAGCAGGTGCAGTTAGGAAAACTGGCATAAAATGTTCTATAGCCCTGCGGCAACTGTACGCAGGCTATAGTACTAGAGCTATAGTAGTAGTAGATGCTCATTTTGGATAGAAATTAACTTACTTCAGTTAACAGTGTGTAATTTAAAACCAAATTATTTCAGGTCTATTGCATCACAAAATCGGAGTTTATGGTCTTCAGTGACAAATCAGTCACCTCCGGTGGCTCCGACTGGACCTATTCTCACCGGTGTCCTGCAGTCCAAGCTTACAGGAAATGTGCCAATCAGAACTGTGATGTCCCTTCCAAGGAAAGGTCACGGAAGGCGAGGTTTCTACTACCCCAGTCTAGTGAGACGTATCAACAAGCATGGCCTTTGGAAGAGAATGATGGAACCAAGTGGCAGAGAAATGATCATGCGCAGGATGCTGAAGGGCAGATACAAAATGTCTCCTATTCATTATTGGGGAAAACCATGGTCACCACGGCCACCAAAGTAAAAACAAGTTGAAGTTTACTATTATATAGATATTTGATGTGTAAAACATTCTACTTCTAATTCGTCAAGTCACATGTGTGTACTAATAGCAACAGATGGATCTATATTAAATGTTTTATAGCTCTTCGATGCCAGATACATGTAACCAATGTAACTGATATGTAAAGGCTGTTCAACGAACCTATGTAAATCTCATGAAAAGTTGTAGCTGAATGAGTACTAGGCGATTTGTTTCAAGTTTGTTTTGTATTTCCCGCTGTCAGAGTATTTCGCAATACTAATTTCTTGTGGTAGTACAAGCTGCAGTGTCAGTGTGCGTAATTCTGTACCAGTCTTTGTAGCGTTTCTGTCTGTCACGCCAGAAGTTTACCAGTTTACTGTTGGTGAAAATTAAGGGATGTACATTTAATGTACGTCCTTGACTAGATACAAAGAAAACCGTGTTACTTGGCAGTTCAGAGGTGCTAATTGTGATGTGGGAATAAATCATAAAACACATTTCTGTCTGTACTGTGTATTTAATAGACAGATCTTTACGCAAACTATGTATGGTTATAGAGGCGCATCCTGGACTGAACCATCCTGAAAACCACCGAGCTGAGCTCACTAACCTTTTGACCATCTTCAATGTAATTTCCACCAAGTGGAATGCATTCCCCTACAATATTACATGCAACGAGACTTGTTCCTCACTTTTTTACACTGCAAAAATTCCAGGAACTTGTTTAGACAGTAGGTGACACGACATGTCAGGTTATGCGCCAACGGTGCCACCACACCTTCAAACAGTAAACACTTGCTTGTCGCTTACAATAATTAATATACAAATCCAATTCTATAGGTTCGCGCGTGCTAACTGTATATCAAACAACTTGTTGGTTCATAGACAATTATTTCAAACACGTTATATTTTCGACATGCGCCAAAGATGTTGAATTCGACAAAACAAATTTAGTGGGCCAAGTAATGGCAATTCAATTACATATGGAGCAAATATACATTCACAGGGATAGCTTAAAAGATAGCTACTCTCCCCAGAACCGCTCATGACTGGAATTTAATAATACAATCAGTTGTTGTCTCACCACCATCATTAACTTTCAAGGAAAGCCTTGAAAATTCTCGAATAAGTTCCCACACTGAAAGAGCAATTTAGTATACTAGGCACAATTCATTTATCTGTTTGGTTCAGTCTAACTCTTGGGTGAGTTCCTCCTGGGTCACATGCGTTTCACCTTGTGTTGACCTGACTCCTACCTTACATAATAGTCTTACAGGCTATGTACAGTATATACATGAAAATAAACATGGCAACTAATTAGGAAAAGACAAAACAAAACAAGAAAATTTCTAACATACAAATTCGAATCCCATATTTCATATACTACTTTTCTCAAAAAATAGTAATCAGTTATATCAAACAGATATTAATTATAAGTACACAACAGGTTCCATGTATTATAAAATATAGGACGGGCAGAACTCTTCCTCCATGGAAATAATAGCAAAGTAAAAATTATGGAAAAATATTTCATACTTCACCATAAGTTAACACATCACACTGGTTGCCTGTGACTTGACTCGATTTACCTCACTCGTTACCTATAATTACAGTGGTACACCGATAACCTTAAATATATCTCTATTCTATTTTCGATCAAGGTTCACAGCATTCACTATTAGGTGATGGTTATAGGGGTTTTAAGATAAAACTGTTATGGCAAATGAGACTAATCCATGAAAGACAAATGAGATTTATGAGTATGTACGGTAATGGTATTGACATAAACGCGAGTAAACTACCAATGAAATTGTACATCTGCAAATGGTATCTGTCCACGTGGTGAGAGTACAAGGTTTTTCATTAAGTGAAGACCACGCAAGGAAAAAATGCTGCCCTACAAACGGTTGCAAAAGATTTGTCAGTGCGTTCCAATCTTTATGAGAATCACAGTGACGTTGTCGCCACAGCCCCTTCGAACAGAATCTGCTGCAAGTTTATTGCACGCAGCCTCGAATCTTGTCTGCTCCAGTGTTTTACCCTCAGCCGCGGTGATCAAATCATCCTGAAATTATCCAAGTAGACACGAAAGGCAATTATCAATTAGGAGCTAACACTGCAGCAAGAGTAGAACACAGATGACTAGTGATCACTAATGAATCAAACAATTGATTAAATCGTGTTTAAAACTGTCATATTTTACAGAGTAACCGTCTTTAGGTGGACGTCAAAATTATAGACACACAATGCACGTATAAGTAGAATAGGAGTTTACAGTCGATTTAAAATTTTTCTAGAGTATATTAAGCATTACAAATGAATTCAAGTTAGACAGAACACGTTATCAGTTTCCGCGATGATGCGTCAGTTCTTGTAACTAACCTGAATGACTTCGATGACTGTTTTTATAGCGCCCTCTGGACTGAATGCCTTCCAAAGACCATCGCACGCAACGATAATAAACCTACACATACACACCAAACCAAAAACTTACTTTAACAGTAACACAAAACTTCATATATTGGTCAAGCAAAGTGCAGAAATTACTAATACAGTTGTTTCTGTTGTTGATTAAAATCTTCAAGTATGTGTACACAGAAAATTACCTATCCTCATCAGTAAGCTTGCATCGCTTCACATCAGGAATACAAATAACACCACTTGACTTATAGGGGCCATCTCCAATTGACCGGGAAACTTCAAGAATGCCTAGAACTCTGCCATCCCTGAAATGTCACGACGCATTTGTGAAAACTAGGTTTACCGATGTAGATGTAATTACAGCAACATTTTTCTTCTTCGTTTCTCTGCTCGCTTCACCTTTTCAACCGCTTTCAAATACTATAGTGTACACCACAATAATCTTCGTGCTTTTAGAGTTACTACCACCCAGCACTGGATGTGACAATTGACACGCCGGCCACTGAAGCCATTACCTGACCTGACCTCCAGCTTTCTGTATTCGTATGCGTTCGTCGTACTGCGTTGGGTTGTGATCCACTGTTAGCGGAAGAGGCTTGTCATTCCTGCACAACACGGCCTTGCAAAAGAAAAGAATGTAAACTCGTCACACTGATGGGTTTATGTACTGACAGTCACAGCTATAGATGATAACAGGCTGATAGAGAATGATAGGATATATGAACAACACTATAATACCAAAGCTATCAAGTTATTATCTAGATTATATATTAGATGTGTGTGCGTGCATGAGTATATATATACAAAATTCCTAACCATAAAAGCTGAGCTCCAAGAAAGGCACACACTGCATTGTTACTGATACTGATACAACACGTAAGCACACACCTAGCACAGACTTACTATACCACTTGATGACAAAGCATCAGTGCTATTGCGCAAGTTACTACAAGTTTTGTGCTATCTATATAATAATTTGAGTAGTGCCGTTCTGTTTGTTCCTGCACTTCTAGGCGCGAGCACGAATCCTGCTTAAATTTTTCGTGCTTCATTCCTACGCATCAGGTTCGATTCTAACACTTTGCTTTTTGTTATTTATTGGGTTATATGTTTAAAAAAACCATATTTAGAAAATCTAATGGAAAATATCCCTGGAAAACATGCACGATTCAGTTCACTTCCGCTAGGTGCGCTGGCTGTAGACTTACAAACACGCAAACACAGGCTAAAGGATACAGTAGCAGGGGCGTGTACAGGGGGGGGGGTCCAGGGGGTCTGGCCCCCCCCCTGCTCGCGCAGAAAATGCATCTAAGGGGGTCTAATTTCAAAATTTCGCGTGCTCGCAAGTTTGGGTTACGGTTAGACCCCCCTGGTACAAATCCTGTACACGCCCCCGAGTAGTCTGTCACGTAACCTTGCAGTGGATTCGCCAGGGCACACATGCTGGCTGTGGAATCAAGTCCTCCCCCACCTGCACGCTCACACTCAGCGCATATCTATCTATCAATCTATCTATTTTTCTATCTATCTATCTATCTATCTATCCATTCATCAAATGTGAACCTGTGACCCTTGACCTTGGGTGAAAGGCACTCAAAATCAATAGGGTTCCACCGCCCCCTAAGGTCCACCTCTGGACCAAGTTTGAAGTTTCTACCTCTAACAATTGCAAAAATATCGAGCAGACAGACAGACACACACACACACGCACACGCGCGCGCACGCACGCACACACACACACACACACACACAAACACAAACGGCGCGAAAACAATATGTTCCGCTACACTACGTGCGGAGGATATAAACCATTTACTGCGAAGCGTTTGCCTACATTTTTCCAAGAATCATTATTACAGTCAAACCCCGTTAGTAGAAAACGGAGGGGCCAAAGAAAAATAATTGTATTATGCGGGTTTCGTATTAACCACATATATATTAGCCATGAATTCACAAAGAAAAAATTATGGATTACAAGGTGTGTACAAGGTATTTTATATAGGTTTATATGTATAATTAAGAACTTTAGTAGTGTTAAATTTATCACAAATAGATACAATTACTGCAAAGCCTAAATTCCTCATTCAATTATATTTATATTTATATTTATATTTATTACTACTATTCATTACTATACAGTCGCACCCCGTTAGTACGAAACTGACGTGCCAAAGGAAAATAATCGTATTAAGCGGGTTATGTATATTATATTAGCCTTAATTTGAAGAGAAAACAATGGATTAGAAGGTGTGTACAAAGTGTTTTATATAGAAATGAATATACAGGGACAGAAAATTTTATGTTAATAACAGGATCCTTGTATTATTGTCTTCGTATCAAGTCAATATTTTACTAAAAGATTACTATGAATCGGGCCGGGATTTAGAGAAATCATCGTAGTCTCATCAGCGTAACGAGCGAATATGGCCACCGGAGGCGGACATTTCGCAAGTAAGAATAAGTAGATTAGTAGATTAAGCGAACGACCACCATATTGTTATCATCGTTCCCAACCAATCGATGCTGCTGAACCACCAGATTGCTGATTAGTGAGGTTGCACCTGTACAACCTACCTTGCTGTCACCAAGGTTGGCAATATAGAGTGTCTCGTTAATGAGTAGCACACACACAGCAGTCGTGCCATCTTTCCAAGCTGGCTTGCTGAAAGGTGTGACGTTATTACATACATGTTAACTCCACACATACAGGTAACACCTGCCTAGTGGCATTAACACATTCGTGAAATGCAACATACATACACTTTTTGAACCATTAGCCAGTCAGACAAAGGCCAGACGGCCTTGATTAAGGTGAAGGTTAAATGATCTGACAAAGGTTTTCCCAACCAACTTTCTATCAGGTAAGAGTTCAGGAACATATTTAGTCTTGGAAGTACCTGAGCAATGCCAAAGTCAAGAACATTAAATATGCAGTCCATAGCCTTAGAATGATAAAACTGGATCCATGAATTATCTCAGCGCACATCATTCAACATAAATATAACACTTGAAATTAAACAGGTTGATTTTTCGGCCTACAGCTTATCTTCCTAATTAATGATTTGTACAAACTAATTGCCTTCATCATATATAAAATTTGTAAACTAATAAGACAATTTCCAATGTATGTCCTCACTTTCTGCTGGCTTCTTTCAGGAAGTCTTCGTCTGTTTTCTTGAATGTGTCAATAAATATGCGCTTAATCTCCTTCTCAACTGCTTGGACGTTGGTACATTGCAATTTCTCAGCCAAGTTGCTGTGCAGATGCCTAGCTGAATACTGTGAAGCTCTCGCTCCCGCGTGACCATCAAACACTGCATAGTACGCCATCTGTTGACTAAAAAGATGAAATAACTTATTACACAATAACAACGACTGTCAAAAATAAAAATAACACAAGATTGGTTTGCAATAGCACTTTCACAAGGACTCAGTCATCCCAATAAATCGTTTGGGATTGCATAATCACTCAATTTTCAGTAGTAATCAGATTATGGTAGGCGCAATTGGCCGTTTGCGCACAATGCAACAAAAACAAGGTAATTTTCAACAGAGCATCTAATGGTTCTTACATGGATGCATCGGGAGATACGTCAAGTCGATAGTTTTCAATGATAACATAAGCATCCTGCATTTCCTCTCTCTCGCCCTTTCTCTCAGCGACATAGGCTTGCAGGTGGTAAGGAGACTCAACAGCTAAAACAGATGCAGCCTGATTTAAAGGGATCCTTTACTCTAGGTTCTAGGGTTATTTTCAGTTAATTTAGGTTAAAATTACATTACATAAAAAGTTTCATGGTTCAATCACCATTAGAAATATTTTTTTTTAATGTTTTATAACCAACGACTACAGTTTTAATTACAACGACGGTGGCGCCACTCGAAGCGCATGATCTGAAAAGTTGTGCAAAACGCCTTTTCAGCCAAGGGTGTTTATTATATATCAATTTAAAAGCAAAAGGATTGTAATATCTTATAAACGACATATAGTTTCAGTTATATTATGGATAAATTTTTCCTAAAATGAACATCGTTCGGTTAAATAGCATTTAGGTATAAATATAATTGCACCTTTGTGATTAGCCCTCGGTCTGTAACGTGCAAAATATATTGGAAAATGCGCAACTTTTTCAGAGTGGCAGCACGGTCGCGGGTGTCAATGGCGCCGTTCAAATTTCGTAGCGTTGATGTATAATTAATTATAACAATTACATTAGGTATCTGGTAACAAGTACGTGTGGGCATAGATGATTTATACAGTAAGTACAGTTGTATGCAGTAAAATCCCAGAATCTAGTATCCCTTTAATATCTCTAATCAGAAAGGAGTTAAAACACTGGGATTAAATTTGTTGTAACATTCAGTAATGGCTTCAACTAACCTAGCTGTAGTGAAAATAAATTACATTACATATATGGCAGCCAGACTATCCTGCATTTCCAAAAGAAGGAATTTCAGATTTTGAAATAAATAATTCATCAAAATTCGAGTGACGGGCTAATCTCGCGACATGCTGGCTATGTAAATAATTAATAATCACGTTACCTTTCTCTAATTTCTTCTCAGCAGGCTGATTCATCAATTGCGTATCAGATTTTCGCTTGGCTGGTGAAGGAGTACCATTATCTCCCTTGGACCAATGTACCACGGGCGTTTTTGGGTGGCTCTCAGAAGGACCACTTCCTGCTCCTAAACACCAGATGCAAGATGTGTCATTCTTACCTGCTAATCGTGTCTTAATTGAATTCAGCACCTCCATAAACACTTATTATAAAGCATTCCCTCCACCCGACTTACCAGAGCTGACTAGGTGCAAAGCAATTCTACCCATATTATTTAAAATTCAAACTTGTGCCACAAAGTGGCAGCTTAGTGTAGTGTAGCTGTTCTTAAGCTGGAAGCAATGTGTACTTTTTTATCAGGGTACTTAGATCAAGGTATACAGTCACAAAAGCTGACATAGAGACCATGACTATAACAGCTATTGTTATAAAAATGGAGAAGCGGTTTTAACATGACATAAAGGCTACTCAATCCAAGATATTATATTAATAAAACAATATGAGTTATATGAGCCAGCAGCTGGATAAGTCTGTGACAACATGAGTGTGTGTAAGCATGGGTCATTCTCTTTCATTATCTGTAGTGGTGGCGGTTGTTGCTGTGTCTCCAGTTGCTTTCGTTTTACTTTGAGCAAAATGACATCCAGTGATTGCTTTTCATTTCTTTTCCATAATGATTTGACTTGTAGCACTTAATAACATTTCTATCATGACACCTCACATTATATCTACATTATGGTACAATAATACTGGGGACATATAACCATGGTTCAATTTGCATTCGGCGCATGCCAACAGCTATGTGGCGCTACGCACAGTTCAATTTGCACACTGGCTTAAAAAATGGTGGCCAAAAAGAACATGTAATACATATTGTTTACGTCACAGCTTCTCTCCTCTTCAATGCCATGGCCACTTTTGCAGCATAATAGTTCAGCGAACAATGAGATAATAAATCAGTTAAGTAATGTGTGTCCCCAGGAACACTGTAACCCCCATCTGTGTTGGTATGAACTGACACTCTGACAGCAATATATATTCAGGGTATAAACAGTTTTACATTGGCTAAATACTCGGTGGATCACAATCCATACAAGTCAAAGTAGGTGTACTTAGCATAGTGATAGTGTTCAGGGGCGTAGCTAGCCCTTCAATGATGTGCAGGCAGAACTGAAAAACGAGAATTTTTTGAAAATGTAGACTGCAGGAGATGGTATTTGAGGTACTTTTGAGTATATGTACAGCCTTCATTCTGACTAGGACAATTCTATTTTTACTTTTTAGTAAAACAATTATTGCGCTTGCAGCGCGGCCGGCTATGATTGATTGATTGATGTACAGGGGTATTGTTTAAGTCACGTTAATTATTGAATATGTAGGGGGTGACCACCGCTGGGATGAGGGCGACAGCAGAACTCTTTCTCAGAATTGTGAAAAAACTGAAAAAGGATTGTAACCTGCTTCGCCTTTCAATTACATAATTAAACCATGCATCAGGTGCCGTTTTGTACAGCCGCGCGACTATTATACTTGCCACAAATTTATTGGTATGTGTGTAAAAATATTGTTCATTCAACAGAAGGGGGTGGCTATAGGCCCCTAGATTAGGTGATCGCCACAACAAACAAAAGCGCAATTTTCATCTCTGTGGTGAGATTGATCTATGATTCCTCAATCATTCAGTGTGTGTGTGGAGCATAGAACTAGAATAGAACACACTATGGTGTGGAGTGGAGCATATCTTTTTATGTATACTATATTATTTATGTATGTTGTTTCGTGTATATTGTAAAAATTCTTTGTAACATATATTTTTTTTAACCATTTAAAAAAAAGATGTGCAGGCACGTGCCTTTTTGCCTAAAGGCAGCTACGCGCATGGTGTTCTAGCTAACAAGATGTTTGTGTGACTGAACTTAACTGAACTTTCGATGTTACTGTTGTGTACTGCAAATATATTGTGGCGCTTATACATGTCAGACTAATCCTATAGTTATTAGTTCATTACGTCAGTATCGACAATGTCGTGAGTCCTACAGTTGGCGTAGGATGAAATGTAGGAAGGCGTAGGCAATTTGCCACATTTGCGCTTTGTGTATTGCAAGGTTCGGCCTTTGTTGGTTAGCTTTTCAGTGCCTCGCTGTGCATTTGTAACCGAGCATGGTAGCATACGCATGTACAAACTGTAGTCCACTTGTAGCTCTAGTACTATAGCCCGCGTACAGTTGCCGCAGGACTATACAACATTCTATTACGAATGCTAGGGACCAACTTATTCACGGTTACTCGCGGCTATAAAACGTCTGTGGTAGACAATTAATGCCTCTTATCTGAAGTGAATATGTCATAAGTTATATCAGCTACTAAAATTTAACCTCTAACTATCGTTGAAATGGTCTGCTTGTGGTATTTCTTGTAAACGAAAATTATTTATGAACTTCAAACGGCCATTTTTAGTGGCGCTGCAGCAGCGCCAGTCAGCGGTTTGGTCCCTAGCATTCGTAATACTATAGAATGTTCTATAGCCCTGCGGCAACTGTACGCGGGCTACAGTACTAGAGCTAGTCCCCTTGCAGTCGCGACAGAGAGAGAAAGATTGCATTCTGTGTTGTTACATTATTGTATCTACCTGTGTTTATACCATGATGAAGCAGCACTTGTGACTTGGTGCTACGTTGGACTAGTAGTAGTACCAAGAGTAGACCAAGGGTACTCTTGGTAGTATACATTACATGATTTGGCAACAATGTATAGTATTTGTAGTACGGTACAAATAAGACCCAATCTTAGTTTAGCACCCAGGATTTGTTTACATATTATATGCGAACTATGAATCTACGATTGGATTGAGCTACAACTACCGCTCATAGGGTCTATGTCCCCCAGGGTACTGCCGGAACGTACCCTGTGTACAGTCCGGTATACCGGAACGTACCCTGGTCACTATTTGATATGGTTATGGTTAGGGTTAGGGTTAGAGTTAGGGAGTAGGCGTAGGCGACTCCCTAGACTCGTTAGTGGAGTAGGTGAGGTATGGTCCGGCATATTAGATAGTACCAGGGACTCGCAGCTAGGGCCTGCATACCTCCCAAATCCCATTGGTTGATACAAATCACGTGCCTGAAACTCCTGTTTAAAAAAAACTTTTATGGTGCATTGTGACACTAACCCTAACCCCAATCCTAACCCTAACAGTAATTAGAATTTAATTTAAAAAATTAACTAGATTTGTATCAACCAATGGGACGTTGGGAGGTATGCAGGCCCTAGCCGCGAGTGTACCAGGGTACGTTCCGGCAGTACCGCGGGGGACATAGACCCTCTCAGCACAACTACCACAGTAGTCAGGCTGAGAGGGTCTATGTCCCCCGGGGTGCGAAATTTTTTTTCCCACTTGAGTTCCGGACCCACCATAGATAGTGTTTTGTAATATATATGGTTCGTATATATATGGTTGGATTATAGTTAGTATTATGGTTCGGGTACGGATTAGGGTTAGTGTTAGTGTTAGGGATAGGTGGTATTCATTTTACATTGTTGCTTCGAGGAAGTCGAGTGAATGGAGTGCGCTGATTGGCTGTGGTCCGGAACTCAAGTGGGAAAAAAAATTTCGCACCCCGGGGGACGTAGACCCTCTCAGCCTGACTACTCGGGTAGTTGTGCTGAGAGGGTCCATGTCCCCCGCGGTACTGCCGGAACGTACCCTGGTACACTCGCGGCTAGGGCCTGCATACCTCCCAACGTCCCATTGGTTGATACAAATCTAGTTAATT